ATTTTCATAGTGTGTGATAGAAATGGCTGGGTAACCTCACTTACAAAATTTGGTTGAAGTTATGAGTTCTATATTTCCTGAGATATAGGATATCACCTAAATATTGGTGGTGCCGCACCCATTTTCCAATTTTAGTTTATTTAGTGAGTTATCGCACTTTTAGTAGTTTTCAACATAACCGTTATATGGGTTATTATCTGATTTTACCCATTTTCACAGCGTATGAAAAAGTTTTAAAAATACTTTCTCCCAGCAAATTAGCTTGAGTTAACTTGAGCGGTTTAGAAGATATGTACACTAAACCAATTAATGGACGGCGCTACGCCCACTTTTAAAAAAATGTCAGCCAATAGGTATCCCTTATTACCTTGATCGCCTGTACCAAATTTCGATTAGGTATTTTAATTTAGTGCTTAGTTATGGCGCTTTATAAGTTTTCTTTTAATGGTGCTTTGTGGGCGTGGTGATTCGATTATCTTCAATACCAACTTCTCTTGGGTGAAAAGGAACATATGTAGCAAGTTTCATCAAGATATCTCAATGTATACTCAAGTTAGCGCTTGCACAGAAAAAGTTACAAACATACATACATACAAACACACATACATACATAGACACAGGTGAGGAAAATTAAGACCCGTTCACAATAAATGTTCCCTACCAACTCCTTTGCATCTTAGCGCTCACTTCATACCGGTACGACTGGTACAAATATACATATGTGCTATGTTACATATATTTACACTTATATGCAAGAACATATGTAAAAACACTTGTGTCTCTTTAAATTATAAAAAGATTCAGCTAAGCAAAACACTTCTTTGCAACACAGTTTTATATATTTGCGCCTATGTGTCAAATAAGTAAATAGATATTGCAAGAAAAAAACGTTAAACCAAGCAACGTGAAAAACTTCGCTAATAACCACAATCACACAACCACAGGCGTTCATTGATCATTGCTTCATTCTATTTAGCACATTTAGCTTTTATTTGCTTATTTGTTTTAGCGAGTCTTTCGTTATTTTCCTCTCATTCTTCTCCTTTATTACCAATATCCACAACCTACTCACAGTGCCGTGAGTTATTGCAATTTATTGCTGCCTAAATAACTTTATTGTAATCGACTGTATCTATAATTATTGTTTGTTATGAGCTCATCAGCAGTTGTCATCATTATCATCATATTGCAAGCAATGATTGCCTTAGCGATAATTGCTACCTTCAATGATGCAGCACAATGACGACTGTTTTGTTTTTCTACCTTTTCCTTCTTCAGTTGACACAAATGTGTTTTGATGCATTTAAAAAATAATTAATATTGCGTCGAAGTTGCGAAAAAGATAAAAAGTTATATTTTTACAAGTTTTTATTGGTAACGGCTACAGGTCAATTAGCAAAATGTAAGTAAAAAACTTTAAAACATGTATACTATTAATAGTTGGTTACTGATATCAATAATTTTGTTTTGTGAATCGCTATAATATTACTAAATCAATAACGGATATATCAAGTCTAACCTTTCTACAACATTAATATTTAAATCCATTAACCAAGACCCTAAATTATACCAAAAGCAGAGGTAGAAAAGCTTTTATATTTAATTACAAAAGTCGTATTAAATATTTTTTGGTTTTATAAGGTTACTACCTTTTATTGAAATCATCCTTTTTCCTTAGAAGTAAGGTCCGTTTTTTATAAGTGGGAGTAAACCAAATGTGCAACTCAAACAAAATCGAATATCTAAATGATTGCATACCTACACACCGCTATATCCAGTCCCGCTTACACTTCGTTTCTAACTATTCATCATCTCATGGCTAGGCCTAATCCCAATAATATTTACTCTGCGTTTATACCTTCAGGAATGCTTAACCTCACTAACGGATTAACGGTAAGAAATCTTACTGGTTGCCAAAATTAGAAGAAAATTAGTTAAATCCATATCAACACTACGTGTTTGAGAGTCCTGCCTTGGATACCTCGGGTCTTTCGCGGGTCTAGCAGATATAGAAATGAAAGGTCTAAGCAATTTGTGATGGGTTCAAAGCGTTTTATCTGTCTTATGTCCCAATCAAAGAAATTCAGGTAGGACTAGTGCTTTGCATTCAACGTCACTCTTCCTCTTATGGGAATCAATCATAGAACCTCCATTTCGTTCACTTTGGTGTTTTAGGAATGTTATTCTGTATTTTTAGGAAAGTTATTCTGTATTGGTTTGATAATTCTTAATCATTTGCTCTTTAGCCTTAGAGTGCGCTAAATCAAGTCCAAGTGGTTCCGCAAAAGACCAACCTCCCCGAATTGCAGAAAAATATCAGAGTTTGGGTTCCTGCTTTACATTAAGTCTATAATTTTAACGAGAATTATTTTGCCGCTCTCATACAAAAAATGTGCTCAACTCTCAGTAATTGCTTCATTGCTAAAGTTAAACTTTTAACTCTCTAACAGCAGCTTTATTAATCCTATAACCTGATGTTTAACTTTATATTGCCGTTCAAAAATGTTTGACTCTAAGTATCTGATCGCTATATAAATTTACTGAATATTATGTAAAAGTTACTAAAAATAATCTCAAATTGTATGTCTGTTACAAATATACCAGGATATCGACCAGACAAATGTGATCAAGATATACTATAACACGTTAATAGTGTTGTGACTAGAAATCCGTATCATCACCGTATATATCCTAGGTTCGATCGCTGTTCCAGCCAACCCAAAAATGTTTTTTCTAGTAACGCTCGATCATTGACAAGCAATGGCAAACCTCCAATAATATTTCTGCTATAAAAAGCTTCTCAAAAACTCCCCATCTCTTCGAAGCAGGCTTAAAAGTAATCCAAAAGCAAATATTAAATCGGAGAAGTTTTTCGTATATAAAAACTGGAAATTTCTATCTAAAAATAATAAATCTGCACATACAAACATATGCTTTTATAACGGCACTTCCATAGCGTCACACTTGACGGCTTGCAACATTTCCTCAAATGCTTTTTCAATAAGATTTTCAACATTTCTCCATATTCACCATTTTCACCATTTACTATGTTACATAAACGCGAAAAAACGGAAAAAAAAAGTAAATGAAGAAAAAGCTCTACAATGAAACAACTGGCTGAGCCAACAAACCACTGTTTTAATGGTGATAATGATAAAGGTACTGCTTTGAGGAATTACTATGATTACATTGCAGCACGCGGCAATTAAAGTGCCACAAATGCAACAAACAGCGAATGCCAAGTAAACAAATGCTTCAAATGGCAGGCGTAGAAATAATGATTTGTTGGCTGGTTGTCTAGAGAATAGCTGCTGCAATGGTTATGTGTACATGTGTTTGTGCGCTGGAAATATTTGAATGATTGCGAATGGCAGCAGCGGTGTTTCAATATATGTGTGTGTGGCAGTTATTAATTGTAGGTGGTCATTGTGGCAGTTGTTATTGCTGTTGCTGTTGCTGTTGTTCTTGTGTAATGTATCGTGGCTTAGAATTCTAATAACTACACTGAGTCATAATTCAATCGCGAAATCGGAACTAAATAAATGACTTAGTATATATGCTGACAAAATTGATTATTGTATTGATTCCTGGAATTCTCGTGCCTTATTTGCATTTATATAATATATAATTACTATTCTTATTGAAAATGAAAAATGAAATAACAACAATGTGAAAACAGATTCCAAGTAAAAAAACCTACATATAAAGTGTTTTAAAAATATTTTTTTTTTTTTATTTCGAATACTTATATCCGACGAGATTAAAACAAGTTACAAATGTAATGGTCCGATGCTGTTATTTTACTATACTAAACCAAGCTTGTCATTCACATTTTTTGGTCATTACTGGCAATGATGAGGAAGATGTTTTAGCTTAAAATTATATCAAATCTAAACACAAAGAAAATTGTTATTATAATAGACGAATACAGGTAATGAGCAAAAGAGTCTCAAAAATAAAATCTGTTTTTGTAAAAATATTTACTAAATAAAATCGAAATTATCATCACAAATTTTATTACTTCGAGCATTACCTCACAAATATATCTAAGAATATTGTGTGAACATGTCAAGATTTCAATCGATCGGTTCCGCCGTTTAGCAGAAATTTTCCAGAACCATTCTGAATACAGATTCGAGAAAAACTCTTTTAAAGTTTTAGGAGCCGATTACACAAAGTGAAAAAATTCTTACAAATATGCTCATATCCCCGAAACTATTTGCTGGATAAACTTAACAGTTTTGAAATATATTCTCATATATATATATACATATGTACAATCGAAATATGTGAAAAAAATTTTTTTATAATTGAAAAGTGGATATTAACCTCCTAACCTAGAAGGCTGACACCAACTCATCAATAGAAGAAAGTGGAAGTGAATATCGTGATCAAATATACATCTAACGTTCTATTTATAAAGACAAAAAGCATAGCCAACCTATATTTGAACACCACCAACAATTTTTTTGCGAATAAATGTGAAATTTCTTAACGCTGCTCATAAAAGTACCCGTTAAAACTCGAAACATAAAAATATTTAGATTCGATGTGGTTATGGTTCAGTTATTAAAGGTTTAGAAGATATCGTAAATTAATTTCTTGATTTGTAGCAGTTTATGCACCAATTTTTCAATTACTTATATACACAATTTTTTCTGACAAAAAAATTTATTTTGTTTAACAATCATACTATCATTAATGAAATAAATATTAAACAACAAATAAATAGATTAAAAAATAAACAAAGAAGATCCATGTAATTTCACCATCCATAGTTATACGATCACAATTTAGATAAACCATAACTACCTCAATAATATTCCCGATTTTTTAACACAAACAGTTGTTTTAATTGGCCGCATGTTGTCGACTTCTTAGTTGAACCCCAATAATAAATTAATCGATTTAGTATTTGCAGCTGCATTTGCTTACTTACATAAAGCATATCTTTGTCTTTGTGTCTAATAATTATTCGTTTTATCTATTTTATTTTTTAGCGTACCGAGGAGCGTTCGATACAGTTAGCGGTGCGTGTGCATAAAACGCTGGAATTGGCGGACGATAAATTTTATGTGATCACATGCGGCAAATCTGGTTTTGGGCGGTAAGTAAACATAAACAATAACAAATATCTTGAAAGAAGAACTCACAATTTAATTAAATTTTATGACTGAGAAATAACAGTATAGCGTATGATATTTGAAGTGAAGATATAAAAATAAAAATGTACTACAAACTATTTAAAACGAATCTGAGATTAAAATTTCATATATAAAATATCTTTAGTTATGGTTATCTGATACGGAATTGCCACGTAAATTCTTTCTGGTAACCAGAGTTAAGTTAGTTGTAGATGCTTTCTTAGGAGTGCTTCTAGGCAGGCAATTAAAGCTTTCAAATAGAGATCACGACAGTTTCGTCTCGTTGCTTATTTTGAAGTGCGCTTTAAATAACAACTCATTAGTTGTTGACGTCATGAATGAAAGGAAAGGAAGCGTGTTTACAATTACTATAAAAGATTGACAGTTCTCTTCGCTTACGACATTGCGTGTCAGTTTTAGTTTGTAGCAAAAAAATCCAACGAATTTCGCGAGGTATTAGTAAACTTTAGTTTAAATTATTAAGTCAAATTAAGGTGGAAAAATAATTATTTAAGATTCAAAAAGTTACAGTATGTTTGATACTTAAAAAGGTTAGTTTACTCCTAATTTCGTGCCAAAAAATTTGTTTGTAAAAGAGAAAGGGAATTAAAAACCAAAAACTGGGTTACTACAATTTTTCGTATAGATTTTGAGGTTAAGCAAAAAATGTGTTCATACAAAATTTGTAGATCTATTCATTACGTACAACTCTCCCATATAACTTTTTTCAATAGGACTAGAAGTTTTGCCTGAATTCGAATAACCTGTTTAAAACCACCCCACTTTACTTCCTCTTCCCGAGCGAGGTATATCAAGTTTGCCATGATGTTTGTAACACCCAAAAGGAAAACATAAATGATCAACATGACTAGCTGAGTCGATTTAGCCCCGTCCGCCTGTCTGTCCATCTGTCTGTATATACCTACTTCCTAGTCCTCATTTTTTGAGATATCGATTTAAAGTTTTGCACAGTCCTATTCTCCCCAAAAATCTGCTGTCGGAACTACTATTTCGGCCTATATCGGAACACTATAGCTATAGCTGCCATATAAACTGAATGATCGGAATCAAGTTATTTTGCATTTGTGGAGGATATTTATAGCTTCGGTGCAACCAAAGTTAACGTTATTTCTTGTGTTTCCTTTAACTTTTGTTATTATTTTCCAATAGGTTTCATCCTGTTATGATTTTTTCATTTTGTAACATTCGCACAGGCCTCTGCTCTGGGCGTGGCAGTATTATCAACCCAAAAACTTTTCAGTTTTAAAAAATCGGTAATCAAAGCAATTCTTGCTTAGATGAAAATGTCAAATCATATATGATTATAGCATTTAGCAAATCAGCAAATGATGCAGCCTCAGCTCACATAGTTATCTGATTGATTTATTATTATTATATTATTTATTTTTTAAATAAAAAACAATATTTATAAAAATATTTTTTTTTCCCTACTTAAAAGAGTACTTGACTCTGGTATAATATGTATACAGCTATATACATACATAAAACCTTAAACGTCAGAGCATGTTTTGATTTCATATTTTCTTTGTATTAGTACAATTTTTATTTTGTAGAATATATTTTCAAATGTGTAAATCAGGTTTCTTTCATTAATAACACATATTAAAACTAAAAAAAGTACAAGCCGTTCTGATTCTTTCACATATATAAAACAAAAATATTATTAAAACAGTAATTTTTGTTATTTTTTATAAAAATAAATCACTGAATTCCGAACCAGTTATTAGCAGAACAAGGTTTCGATCCTCGGACCTCTGGGTTATGGGCCCAGCACGCTTCCACTGCGCCACTCTGCTGCTTATCCACTCCTTGGACGCTTTCCGATTAGAAAGAAATGCATTTTCACATACATATCTGTGTGAGGAAATGCTTGTTTCAAAAACCATCGCTGCAAATACCGAGTGGATCACGATTTGTGCCACAAAAACAAACCGTAATAACTTTGTTTTTAATCAATGCATTACATTCATTATACCCTAAACAGGGTATATTAAGTTTGCCACGAAGTTTGTAACACCCAAAGGGAAGCGTCGGAGACACTATAAAATATATACATAAATAATCAGCATGCCGAACTGAGTTGATTTAACCATGTCCGTCTGTCTGTGTATATACAAACTAGTTCCTCAATTTTTTAGCTATCGACCTCAAAGTTTGCATCTGGCCTTTCCTCACTAAGAAGCTGCTTATTTGTCCGATATCGGAACACTATAGCATATAGCTGTCATACAAACTGAACAATCGGAATCAAATCATTGTATGGAAAAATCTTTAATTTGACGAGGTTTGGCATGGATTATTCTTTAAGGCAATAATGCAATCTCCGAAGATATTGTATAGATCGGATGACTATAACATATAGCTGTCATATTAATTGAACGATCGGAGTAAAGTGCTTGTATGGAAAACTTTTTCATTTGACAAGGAATCTTCACGAAATTAGGCATGAGTTATTGTCTAAAGCAACAATGTATTCTCCGAGGAAATTGTTCAGATCAGATCACTATATCATACAGCTGCCACCCAAATTGAACGATCCGAACCAAGTTATTGTAATGAACCTTTGCAATTGTGAAGGGTACTTTTTGTGGTTTTTATATATAAATATATAAATATTTTGGAACTCGAAATCAAATCATTAAAATTCATTCATGTCTTAATTCTTCAACTTGTCTCATCATCTTCTTTTACAAATCAAAGAAAATAAATAGCTGAACTAGTTTAAAAATTTGACTAATCTAAGTTAGTTTCTTTCCATTTACATGTGCTCTTTTAATTTTATGTCTACCTGAGTCCATCCTACAGGGTTTCGATTCACAAATTAACCTCCAGTTGGCGCTGTTGCTAAAAAACTTCTCAAAATTTTATTTGAATTTTCTAAAATTTTATTGATAGATGCCGCTATGTTCGAAGTATGTTTTGATTATCCCTATTTGTGAAAGTACGATTTGTAGAGTCTGAAGTGGATTTTCTATAATGTTTATATAATAACTTCCATACAAACTGACCGATCGAAATGAAGTTCTTGTATGTAATCATTTGTATTTTGAAGTTAACAGTTTTTCTTATTACTGAATAAAATTTCACAGATTAACGTCTATTAGAAAGTTAATATAATGTAGGTTTGGCATGAAATTTCCAAAAAAAAATAAAGGCTAAAAAATTATATATATTGTATATTTTTTTAAATAAGACCTAAATATATTTCTTTAATTAATACATTTTTTCAAATTGTTTGTCAGTATGTTGATTTATCATCGTGCAAGTTTTTTTTATAATTGATAAAAAAAAAACAAAAAGGAATTTCTGTAGTTTTAATTAATGTAAGAGAACTCGTTTACATTTTAAATTTTGATAGCGTTTTTATTAATTGTTTTATCTTAAATTCTGGTAGGCTTAAAAATTATAAACTATAGTTTAATATATGAGAAAACTAAGTTTGTTTGAAAGATGTAAAAAAATTAACCTTATTTATTTATTTTTAAAATATTCTATATTATTATTAAATAAAATTTTTTTTTAATTTTTTTATTTTATTAAAATGTATATTTAACTATTTGTATAGTAAAATATAAAATATATAAACAATTAACATATATCTACAAGAAAATATTTAAAAAATGTTATGATTTATTTTCTAATAGTTCCTTATTTTTTTGTGCAAATCTCTATCGTTGTCAAAGCTAAGTTTGCACTGTTATATCAATCAACAGCAATTCACTTAAATTCACACATTTTCTGGTTTATCGCCTGCGTGTGGGTTTTGACTGACACAAAAGAGATTTAATGATGCCTGTGCTGATAAATACTTGCCTATATAACATAATCGCCATGCCTACATACCTACTACGTTGTAGACACTCATGCAATTAGTTGTTTTTATGTGGTATGTGGTACACAACAAACAAAGCACAGTTCAAAAGCGAACAAAGTCAAACACCTTCATACAGAATGTCTGAAATTAATGCGAATTTTTATTGTTGACTTTTTTATTCATGAAAAAGCGGACACATAAGAAGCTATAAATCTGCTCCTACTCTTATATTTATATACATATATGTTTGTATATAAAGTACTCATTTGTGTAGAAGTATATGAATATTGTAGGCGGGTATTCAAGTTGTTGGAGTTGCCCTGATATGAAAAAAGAAAATATAAATAACGTTTTTTTCCAGCCAATAATAAAGTACCAACAACATCAAGGCCACTCAATTGGGGTAAAGAATTTTTGGAACTTAATTAAGTGCGTTCGAACGAAAAAGTATAACTTTGATGCCAGCGCACACAAATGTACATACTTAACGACTAACAAATGTGCTGAACTGATTGGAATCTCAAAATGTTCACATTTGCCGACAGACACACATATGTACATACATCATTCTGCGCTTGCTTTCTTTTCGTAGGCCAATAAACTGGCGAAAAATGTTGAAAGCAAGGCCAAGAAGCGCAAGCAGAAAAATTATTGAAATGAAAATATTTGCTGTAATAAAGCAGCATTTCTTAAGTATTGTAGATTTATGATTTGCGGTTAAAAGCTTTGAAAATGTGTATTGTGCGTATGCCTAGTATGAGCGCACTATTGAGTTCGTTGCTTAAGTCTTTTGTACTTTTTTCGCCAGTTCAATTTCCACTTAATTACCGCACACTTATGCGTGCTTTAACGTAGTTTATAGCAAATAAAAAAATAGATTTATTATTATGCAATTTCATTCAAATTTTATGCTCTGTTAAATCGCTAAAATGCGCTGCGCGCCGTAAGCGCAGCCGTTGCACTGTGTTCGGCGTATCAGAGCATTTCCGCAGGCGTTGCATTATTTTGTAATTTTTAATTATTTTTTTTTAATTTTTTTTTTTTGCAATTTTAAACTTTTCGTATTTGTATGCAGTGTTTTTGTTGTTATGATGCGCGCTTCCGCAACGTTTGCTTAGCTTTCAACTGTTCACCAGTCACATGTTTACTATATATTTATAATATATGTACACACATACATACATACATATTATCGCAGTGCGTTAAACCCGCTGCGTTCTCGTTTTCAATGAGCTAATGTTACGTAATTCTAATGGTCGCTGCAGTTGACAGTGGCAAAACAAGCGCATAGAACTGTACATAATTGCAGGCACTTAATTAGCAGTTGCCTAGCTGCCACTGTTGTTGTTGTTGCTCAAAAAGAAATTCAAAAGCACTTTACTTAAATTGCTTAGCTTTACTAAAATCTCTAACTGAAAAAAATAAGGAATAAGAATACTGCGAGAATGCCTCTCCATATACATACTCATTTCACCGCAGCGCCTTAAGTTTTATGTTTATCTCGACAGTAAAAGAAGGCATATCATTTTAATAATAAGTGCACACATATATCTTTAATAAAGACTTTATCACGTATTTATTTAATTTTTTTCCTTTGTCCCATTTCTTTTTTGTCAACAGCGATGACAACTCCCATGTCATTTTGAAGTTCTTCGATAATGAGCGCCGCGTTCGCGAAACGGTTTATGGACATGAGTATAAAATACGCGCAGAATTAACGAAGCCAAATGGTAATTAATTTCGTAATTTCACTTTACTTCACTCTACAAATAACGGTTATTGCTATTAAAGTACTTTCAATGCGTAAATCTGTAATATTCTTACTTCCTTGTGTGAATTTTAATACAGGCACCTATGGCGTACGTGTTGCCAACTGCTTTGCGTTTGACAAGAAGAACGTCACCATTCAGTTGATCGATGAGAGAGGGTGAGTTGGAAGAATGTTATTGTTTTGCTAATTTCTTAATTGCATTACCTTCTATGAACAATTTTTTTATTAAATTATTATTCGCCTACAGCTGCCCGAAGGATGATAATATTATTTCCCGTTTCGTACCAAGCCCGGATGGACATAGTGCCGAAGCGACACTCAAGTCCATGTTCAAGTTTCCAGAAGGTGAGTAGAAAAATTACAATATAGATTGTTTTAAGGCTAGGCGAAGCTTGAAATTATTGCATTAGGTATATGGGAGCTGCGGCTAGTATTTAGTCGGTTTTATCCATTTTTGGCATCAAAACATATTATTATCAGAAAGAGCATTTGAGTTTTATTACATATTAGTCGATATATCGGTATACGTTCTCTAAGATTCATATTTTTATATCACAGATTGACCGCTATTTTCGGTAAAATGTCAACCATAGACACTAAGGTCCACATATTCCGTACCTGGAGCCGTGAAAACTTATGGCCCGATTTCGACAATGTTTAGACGTGAGAAAAAATAGAAGGCCCCATTTGTGCAAAGTTTTATTTAAATGGAGCCATTGACTCTCGATTTATAAACTGTAAAATTAAAGAATCAGGCTGAATTTAAAATTTTGTTATTGGGAAGTAGATGTGGCTTTGATACAATTTCGCCCATTTTCATAATGTAAGATGGGAATGTCAGGATAATATACCAAATTTGGTTAAAATTGTTACAGTAGTTCCTGAGGAATAGAATTTCACTTTAAGGTGGGCGATACCACGCCCATTGACCAAGTTTGATATTGGCTCCCATAAAGTCCTTCTGTACCATATAGGAATTTTAGTGCGTATGTATGTATGTATGTATTTAGTGAGTTATCGTCATTATATAACCATCATATGGGAGTGGGCGTGGTTATTATTTGATTTCACCTATTTACAGAGTAGAATTCAAATTTTTCGGATCTCTTTAACGATAAATCCATTATTGACATGAATTTGTATACCAAAGAAGTATATTATAAAATTAATTTTAATTTCAATGCCCTTGTTTTTTATAAATTTTTCTCAAATTGTTTAAAAGATTACTAGCTTATGGCCTTGGATTCAAATTAACAACAATTGTTTTATAAATATTTATAAAGAAGCTTAGTATTAGTATATATTTTATCTTAACATAAAAACTAAAGAAACATTTCACATATTTAACTTGTTCTCTTCTCTTTTCTTCTTTTTTAAACAGACTCAGAGGTTCACCTGCAGTGCGATGTGATTCAATGTTATGGCCGTTGCATGGAAGATGAAGACTGCAAGCAAATTGCATTGGCTGGTGCGGGCGCGGTTGGTTTTAGCAAAGGTGGCAACGCTAAATTGGGTCCAAACGAAGAGGGATCCTTAGCGGGCACCACCGTGTTTGTGCTGGATCCTTCTCAGGCGCCATGTAAGTAACAGATATTATAAATTATGACATCAAAATAGGTACAACAATTTTAGTGTAATAGTGTCGGGGTTAGATTTGTTTGCGAATTCCCTGTCAAGAGGTCACAGTTGGAAAATTTTAATCACGTTCTTGTAACCTAAACGACTAAACTAATCACAAACCCGCAAACTAATTTCAAGAAGTTAGAACTAAAATGATTCAGTTATAGTTTCACATAAGCGGAAAAGTCAGAAGAGAAGTGTTGAGAATGTTCCACTTCCCAAGTTTCAATAAAATGTTTAGCCATAAGGATTTATTAAACTTTTAGATTAATTTACCGTAGAGACATCAAACGAACTGTATTCCCTATAAGTACGGAAAACACTTAGCTTAATAAGCTGCTTAGACCTTAAACTGAACTCGGAACTAAACGACCTTACGATCGCGCAAGAACCGGCGATTGTCCTGCGTTCGCTGAGCTTACTCAAGCTGTTAAAGAGTAGACCGCAAGGCGAAAATTGAACTTACATTATGTCTCCGTCCGGTAAAAAGTATATAAGGAGAAGAGAGTTATCTTCTTTGCAAAACTATCAACTCTATAGTTTCCAGCGAAACCTTTCATCAGTTTCATTGAGATTAACGTAATCGAGAGTGAGGTTCAGCAGTACCCAGTTTCAAGAGCTTAGAACTGTCGATTCGGATCGCATACATACCTCCTTGAAGGTAGATTTCGCTCGGGACAGTATATTACTGAAACCTTTCTCTGCTTAATACCGTTGTAGTTGTTTGGAAACCGAAAACGAGAATTATTAGAGAGTTCATGACGATATACCTCTCTATCTTTCTATAGACTTCATCCCATCTTTGAAAACACACATTTATCTTCTCCACCTAAATCTCCGTGCAGCCCCCACGTCCTTTTTTTTATGATAGCAAAGCCAAATTCATCAGTAACTACCTTGGTGACATAGTGTCTTCAATAGATGTAAATATAGTCCAAGCTGCTATGGATTTTGGACTCGTAAAAGTCATTCAAGAGCACAGCTTCCTGAGCCGGTTGCTTAAAAAAGTAAATTAAAAGTGTTACGATTGTCGTTTTCCGTCTGTCTGTATATGCGCGAACTTGACGTTCAGTTTTTGAGATATCATTATGAAATTTGGACACGCTATTTTCTCTCCTCAAATGTCAGAATCGCCGATATTGGACCACTATAACATATAGCTGTCATGCAAACTGACCGTTCAAACTCAAATTGTATGGAAAACTTTCTTGTTTGACAACATGGCATGAATTATTGTTCAATATAACAGTACAATATTTAAAGAAATTAGTAAAGTTAACGCTTTTTCTTATTTTTTTTTAAACAACTTTTATAAAAATTAATTCAAATATCCACCTTTTTAGTGGTTACCAGTACTTGCGAGGACACCATTAACCCGCCATGGCTGCTCTGGTTGGCCATTACTCTGGGCGTACTCTTCCTCATCATGTTGCTGATGAACATTTTCCTTTGCACTGCAATGAGTTGTAGTTGTGCGAACACCGAGGTAATTATTAAAACTAACAACAACAACAACAACAAACATTCATTCATATTCGAAATTTAACCAATGTGTATCATTATTTACTTTTTTCCCCGCCGTTATTGTTGTCACTAATCTAGATCATCGAAAAAGAACCATCTATCATTGAAGAATACGATCCGTACAGAAGTTGGCATGGTAGCCAGTATGGATCGCGTTACTCACTGCATGGGCGTGATGCGCATAAAGGCTACACAAGCGGTGGCTCGACGATACACTCGAATAGGTCTGATAGATACTAAGTTCGCTCAAAGAACAGTTTTTTTACAAAACACAAAATTACAACAAAAACAAAATAATAATACATTATATTATGTATGTATATGTTTATGTGCTAGTATGTGTTAAACTACAAGAGCAGACAAAGGCAACAACAAAAAACAAAACAACAAGGAGTTGACAAATGCATGCCAGAACACAAGTTTCAGAAATTTGGAAATTTTGAAAAAAAACTAATTTTGAATATATTTTTTTTATAATTTTTTTCATACATATTTTTGTAATATTTTTTAGTGATTTTAATTTATTTATTATTATTTTTATTAAAAATTGTCACTGCCTTCTTGGCCACCGACAAGCAACACATATACGAAATGCCACAGAGTACAGTGAAATACTATAAAATCCAATACGCCACAATGTGTGTTTAGTTGTATGTGTATGTGTTAATAATATAATATTTAACTGGTTAATAACTACCATAATTTTAGAGTACAAATACTAATGTTAAATTAGAAAAAATAAAATCTGGCAACTATAAAAAGTTGTGCTGTAACTAACCAACGGGCACATAGTTTAATATTTTTCCCTCAAATAGTTTTTGCTCAAAAATGTAACCATTTTATATAATGTACACAAATTTATTTGCCACTCAGCTCGATAAAAATGTAATTTATTTTTTATATTTGTTACTAAATTGTATTTTATTTCTAATTTATTTTTAAACTCCTAAAAAACTATTATACTAAAGTGGTAGCCGCACTTTACACATCCACTGTACTGTCACTCAACTATTTGTTTCACTTGTCCATTACTAAACCTGTCTGGAAACAATTTTTTTTCTACATAATATTTGAAAATGTTGTGCATACAATTTACAATAACAAAAAATAGTTTTTTTAAAAAATGTGTATTTTTGAAGGTCGATTCCCATTGATAACGACAATTACGCAATTGTACATTCACGCCCCGGCTCTAGACAAACCGGACATGCGCAAGGACACCGCTCCCGCGGACCACCCAGTAATATGTAACACAAATATTAAGTATCTTTATGATTATAATGCTAATAATACTTATTATTAAGTACATTTCTAAGATTTTTCATTGAAAAGTAAAATCATTTACTTAAAAAAAAAACAAAGGAAATTGTAAATAAACTAGTTTCAGCGCTCTAACCTCAAACTTTTCATACACACTCACTTCGGCCTTGAACGCTTTACGATATTAACGAGTGCACTCGAAATTTGCTGAGCAGCAATGCTCTCAAAGCTTCGAGTGCAAAATAATTTTCATTTAATTACAATTAAAAAGCAAACTAAAAACCGTTAGTTTTCACAATAACAATATTAAAATTTCAAAATTAAATCTATTCACAGCACTATAATATCTTAAACCAAAAACAAACAAAAAAACTCAAATCTGTCTCAATACGCGCCACTGTATTATACTTGCGTCTATTTTGCTACTTCTACTTATATATAACCTTACATAAGTTAAGATAAGTACGAAATGTATCAATATTAACCCAGTGTATTACTAACGAAAAATAAAATTAAGTCATTAGTTAAATAAGCTCGAATTATAAACTCTCACAAAGCGATTGAAATAAAATGTTAGGCATATTTTGAAAAATTAAAAATAAATCAGAATCAAAATTATTCAAAAATGTGCATGCCTTATAAATATACATATATAGCCTATATATATTTAATAAAAATATCTTATACAAACTTTGTTGACAAAAAGAGTGTATGTAATTATGTACGTAAATCTGTATGTATTATATTAAAATGAATTAATAAAAAATAAAATAATAACTAATTGGAAGTGTAGGTTATTCTTTAATTTGATTATGGCGAGATGAGTTAAAATTATTTAACAGTTCGTGTTTTGAAAACAAATTTGACCCGGACTCGGTCCATTTAAGCTACGCGCGCCAACCTAATCGATAAACAAATTTTTTCCTTGTTCGTGCGTAGTTTGATGTCCACTTGTCAATTAGTTTGTGCTTAGCAGCTGTTTGTTTACGACGCGATAAGTTTGTCTGAAGATTTTTTCCATGGCAAAGAAAGTGAACAACGAGTTTGCTTGTTATTTTGTTGTTCCAATGGAATCGCGGTTACGATATCGTTGAAAATATTACAGAACATTGAGCATTCAGAGAAGATCGTGAAGTCATTGAAAACCTGCCGCATGCGAGTAGTCCATCTCTCTCTGTTAATGGCGATAACACCGAAATAGTTAAAGAAACAATGCTTAAAAATCGTCGTTTTGAGAGATCGCAGAGGATCTCAACATTTCTTATGGATCGACTCAACTATTTTGGTTAATGTTTTGGGTATGAATTGTGTCAATGCTAGACTCGTACTAAAAGATCTGAGTACTTTAAAAAGTCGAAGTTGAGTGATGGTCGCCCTACATTACCGGTAGGGTAACAAGACGTGGGCTTATGAATGTGAGTCCGGGTCAAATTTTCATACGGGGCGTAGTTTATAGGGACGAACTTTTGGTATCAAAATCATATCAAATGATAGGTCTGTTTGGATGAATCGAAGCGACTTAGCCATCAACCTAGTAAAACATAAATACGGTTTTATTTACCAGCGGGTATAAGATTCCAGACGTTTCTCTCCCCTCATTCAGAGGCTCACGATTTCAACCTGTTGATTAGATAAAGCACCTATGGCCTATCCTTGATGGAAGCTTTCCTGGAGGCAAAATATTGAGGAGAGAGTAAGGAAGACATCGGTTGCTTATATTGATGTTGATGAACTATAGAGAAAATGTGGGGATACTCACCAAAGGTCGTGTTGTTGCTCTGCGAAACTCTGTTGAAGCCAATAATGTTCTAAAAAAGGCGAAAAGGCTCCGTTTGTAAAGAAGCTTGAACGTGTTCAAAGAGCGGCTCTCATCGGTATATCCGGTGCACTGCTACAAGTATATCACCCAAATGGCTTTAGAGGATGCCACCTTATGGCCAAATAGAACCTAAGCTGGCCCCTGAAACCCAATGTGTGGACCCAGGTGACTACAGTTGACTTTCTACAGAAAATAAGGGTCAATGTGTGAAATATATAATTGTAATTCTCAGATAATCCTTTCCTAATAATAGTATGTCTGAATGTCAAAAATAGGTTGAATCGGGTAAATATTTCCCTTAGCTCCCATATACCTAATATAAAGATTTTCGAACTTCCGGGTGACTGTATACCGCATATATATCCCAACATGTGAGTTATCTCAAAGGAAATTAGAGAGTATGTTTTTCTAATAACAGTGTAACTTTGTGCCTAAACTGGTGAAAACTTGACTTCGCCCTTATATAACTAATATCAAAATTTTCGAACATCCAGCTGACTTTACTCCATATGGGAGTATTTTATTAGTACGTGGCATGTTAATAGTATGTTGCATTGGCAAAACGAGATAAAAAGAGGCAATACCACCCCCAACTTCCTTATACTAGTTACGATGATTTTCGTTATTCTAACAAGTTTTATGCCGAATATGTCGGTCAGTGAGTATTATTTATATAATATATAAAATTGCTTCAAATAATGTTCTCGAGTATACCTGAGCAATGTCAAAATTCCCAAATATACCCCATAAAATGATTTCCGTCTTTCCACCTATATTTAAACCGTTCAGGCTGGTCAAAATGTGTGACATTTTAATAAAATTAAATATACAAGTTTTTTTTAAATTAGCCGGTTTAGCGCTGAATTTGAATGGAACCGATCCTCTGCTTGACATTGACTAAATATATTAAATTTAGGCTATTCAGTCGTTCGGTGTTTTTAATATTATTTTAGCTGAGGCGAACTAATTATAGCAATAAAACTAAGTATAAGTTTATGAACTTCAATATAAGTCAAGAAGATACCAAGTTCGCTTTGTGGATGTACAACGTACAGTAATATTTGTTCTCTTTAAATCCTAAGCAGCAACTAAATAGCAACGTAATAAAAAATATAAAAGCCACATTGAGTCGTAAGAAATATGAACGTCTGAAATTTAAGTTTAAGCTAATTTTTACTTTATTGACATTCACATTTATATTTTTATTCTATATAGGATTGCAGAGAGTAAGCTTTGTATGTGTGTATGTATGTACGCTCTTGTATAATTGCACTTTTAAGAAATGATGAATAAGCCTCTTTCTATGTACTAATTACACTAAGTTTAATTGCGTAAAATTGTTATAGTTGTAAAAATTTGGGATCATTTTGTTTTACAGCTTCAAAATGAAATCGTTGCCAACTATGTCTTAATTTAGCTCCTTCTTTCATTGTTTAATGTAGTAACTTCCGTATGTTGCAGCGCCATCTAGCGGCAGTTAGTGCAGATGACTCACACTTGAACTAATAAGTGATGCCATATATTTATTAGATAAAAATGTCCACAAAATTTTAAAAAATTGTCCACAGAAAATGTGCTCACATATGAATGTATATTTATATACAAATGCCTTTGTGCATATATGCGAAATTATTTGAACATATACAAATAAATATTAATTATCGAAATACTCGTTTATATTAAAATAATATCCAAAAATTTTAATTCGATATCTCAAATAGCTTATCTTTAATGGACAGGAAAAGATGGTAATCACTTGGTGCCAGGTCCTAACTATAAGGTGGGTGCATTAGGACCTCCCATACGATCTCTTCCCAGAGCTTTGACCACGACCGTTTGCGCTCGATGTTGTCGTAAGTGACCCATTTTTCATCGCCAGTCACAATCCGCTTCAGAAACGGGTTGATTTTGTTGCGATTCAGCAGCGATTCGCAGATGGAAATTCGGTCCATCATGTTTTTTTGCGTTAGTTTGTGTTATTCAAGGTTATGCAAATAGTTTCAAACGGTTTTCTGGCTTATCTTTAGTTCCTCAGCAATTAAATAAGTGCTCACGTGACGGTCTGTTGTCACTATTTCCATGATTTTTTACAATAACGCCATCTCTTAGATAAACTGCTTACTTCTTATATAATATAAGAAGCACTGTAATATGTCAAAATTAAGAATGAGTCTACACTATAACTTAAGTGTGATATAGATTCGAAATGTAGTGAAATCGGCTAATAAAGTATATCTTTCAAACACTCCAAAATTTATTGTTGCATATGAATATTTATTTCCATTTCCAGGGTTATCTACGAGAAACTGCTCAATATTTTCCATGATATCTAAACCAGCCTCATAATTAAACAAAATATTACGGTTTAATACAGTTTCGTTTAATTATATAAGAAAATAATAAATTTAATATATTTCCTTCTTATCTTCGCTTCTAACAGTGTGTCAAAATTACAAATTGAGTCATGCACAGGTTAAACACTCCATAAGCAGCCTTCCGCAATAGCTTGCAAATGCTGGCGAGTCAGTCAGCTGGCGTTGCCAATCGAGTACGGATGTGAGTAGCGGTTGGGCAAAGTGTTTAGAGTGTTTTGGAACTAAATTATTCCTGTGAAGTGTTTTTGCGAGTGTCGTCCGTCGGTCGTTTCGTTGGCCCTGCTGCCGCAACTTGTGTACTAAATGGTGTGTAAATAAATATATTTGAGCAAATAATACATACTTGTAAGCAAATGTATGAAATCGTATTTCTGTGTATAAATAAGTGCGCGTATGAAAATTTTAAACCCCGAAATAATATTACTAATAAGAAAAGGGGCAGCAAAGCAAAGCAAACAACGCACAAAAATATTCTCTACTTGAGAATAATCAACAACAACAAGCGCACGTCTGCTAAGGTGAACGTAGGGAGAACAGCGGAGCGGGAGACATAATGGCAACTGCAAATATTGCATTTACTCTGCGCTGCCGCTACCTATGACATTTGGTTTCGTACCTTTATTGCCGCTGCAGTGACAAGCACGTGAGTGAGTGTGAATGTGTTTGTTTGTTTGTATTTTCATTTGTTTTTGGCGACTTTTGAACCGCTCACAAATGTTGCTATTGCTCTCATTCTACTTCTACAACTGTTGTGGTCAGCTACCTGAAGTAGTGGATTTATATTGGATTGATTTAGCTTCGGTTATTTTCACTTTTTTGCGGCACAGAAAACAAAAAATGAATATGCTAAATTGTGAAATTAATAACAAAAAGAAATCGGCTATTTAAATGCAAAAAAAACAAAGAATAAAGAGAGAGTAAAAAAAAATCGTATTAATTCAAGCAGAAAGTGTGCGCATAATTTAAATAATTTCTATATATATTTTCGTAAATGCTTGATTCCTATTTATTTTCATCTACTCTGTTTTATTCGTAATGTTAAATGTTATGCGCCACATGCGAATTCTATTTAGGTTGCCAACTTCGTTGTATATTCTAACTAACTTCACTTCCTTCGTTAGCCGCTCCCTCTCGTTTAACGCGGTTGTTATGTTCCAAGCGTCGCGTCACATTTTGATTTGAGTCGTGATTGTGCTCTGTATTGATTTTCGCCGACGAATTTATGATTAATACATTGCTGCAAATGAATATAAATATGTGCTATTTTGATATTAACACACGTATATACATATTTTCGTGTATATATCTGCGTTCTATTTTTGTCGCTTATTACCATAAATATTTAAATTCTTAGGTTGCAAAGTTTCAGTTGCAATTGCGATACAAGAATTTAACGCAGTGTTGAGCGATATTGCCGGCGTAACTATTGGATTTCCGGTGATGTGCGTTACAATGGGACGTAGGGGATGAAAAAGTTAACAAATAGAGATTTTAATTTTTATATATCAATACTATGAAATTATTATTGATTACATAAGTTGAAATAAAAAATTAAAATAAAATACTGTGTTAGTCCCAAAACCGGACATATTTAACACCCAGCGTATAAACTTATTCGAGTACGCTATATCCAATGATTAAAATCATTTTTCTAGATGAGCTTTTATTTTAGATAAAGCTTCTGAAATTTAAACAACTCAATAAGGCATTTTTTAAGAGATTTTTGAACAGAAGAGCTTTTTAAAAAACTCAATTACATTAGATTTTCTGCTAGATAACCCATTCTCTGATTCATGCAAGGTGTAATTATTAATTATCTTAAAAATAATTTATTAGTTTTAATACTCTTGTTTTAGTTTTGTTCACCTAACCGTTATTTGTATCATCTAAAATTAATGGAGATAAATATAAGGTTATATATATATATATGATCTGAATGACAAGGCAAGCTGAAATCCGGATGTCTGTCCGTCCGTTTGTCCGTCCGTCTCTCCGTGCAAGCTTAAACTTGGTACCATAAGAAGTTGGGTATTGTAGGTGGGCGTAATTGGACCACTGCAACGCCCACAAAATGCCATTAATCGAAAACATATAAAATGCCATAACTAAGCACTAAATAAATATTAATATTCGACAAATTTGATTGGAATCTATTTACGATTTCGTCAAATGAATTGTTTCGTAACATTTTTTAATATAAAGTTTTCCTAACACTTGAAGGTTTTTTCCTTACTTTGGCCCTTGCAAGTTGCAAGAGTATTCAATGTTCGGTTACACCCGAATTTATCCCTTCCTTACTTGTTTTAACTACTTTAATTACTTAATATTCTAATAGGGAAGGAATACATTTTGATATAGCAAATTTAGCTACAAAACATAGATAGGCAGAAGATTTCTTAAACATAATAGATATCAAAAAGTATATTTGTCATTATTCATAAATTGTCTCTAGAAAAATTATTAAAATATGTTTGGAAAAATATAGAAATGTTTTGCTTATCTCCGAAATATATAATTCCTCGCGTAGTTGAATATACATATATATATAGTTACTAACAATAAAATAGAAATAGAATAAAATTTTTATTCACAACTATTTGCGAAAAAGAGTTACCACAGTTCTTAGGAGGAAACAATTATTTTTTATAGCTAATAAAATTTATTTTATGCATTTCAAAAGCAAAAGTAACTTAAAATAAATTTAAGTGTTATCCGCAGACAACCAAAACTAGTAAATATTAGATTATTATAAATTAATTATTTATATAAATCCAAAATTATTTATATTATATAATTAATTTATAAATAAATATATATTTCTTTCATACAAGTTTTGATAAAAAGCTTCTAATCTATTAAGGGGTTGGGCAAGTCTTCAAGCACTCAAAAATTCTTTACTTTGAAAATTTATTCTGAGTGTAAATAAAAAGAAACCGAATATTTCTTTTGCGGGCTTTAGGAAACATACATACATATATTTAAGTATATAAACAATTTTATCTTGACATTATATAAAATGTAACGCGAATATTTTATCACTATTCTAGAATTGTATAACATTTTAGGACCTTAAAGTGTAGAAAACGATTTTTTGAAAATCCTAAACGAATCTAATTCATTAATGCTGAGCTCGGAAGAAATATGTGACTATTTGTTGCTGCTTTTTTAAGATTTTGCTATTTTAACGACTATTATTTTGCCACTATAAGCCTATAGATTATGTAATCAACAGTTAGCCAATCACAAATCACTGTGCAGCACGTTTCCGCGGGCAATTTTGTAGCTGTCAGCTAGTTCATTACGTTCTATGAGTCATTTGCAGTAGCAATCGCATAAGAGCGTAAATCAAGTGAGTGCCTTACCGAGAATTGAGTTAGTTCTTTATGTTTGGTGGCGAGCTCTACTCACATAAAAATATGTATGTACCATCGGCTGTAAAAATTAATAAAAGAAAAAGTGAAATGAAAAATATACATATGTAAATGTATAATTGTGGGTTATGTTTTACCACCAAAGGTGGATACACAAAGCCAAAACCCCCACTAATGGCATGCGGAACCGAATTGTGTGCAGTTCAGTGTTCACATTCCGCAAACTGTCAACGAGTTGAAGTAGGCGAAGTAATTCTACAGTATAACACATTTAATTTAAAATAAAATGCTCCGTAGTTAAGCAAAAGAGCCAATACAGCTGCCAAGAGAATGAAATAATTCAAATTGAAAAGCAAATTATAGTACTATGTGCACACAGTTAAAGTAAACAGGCAATTCTGCTTTGATCACTTGAATTTTTTTATTTCAAATAATATTTATATTTCTCGACGTGCTATAACTTGAAGATCCCGCAGTGGTTCGCTAAAATAATGTATGTGTAATAATATTTCACATTTGCCAGAGCAATTCTAATGAAATCACACTTAAGTATGTTCGTACATATGTGCTTAAGTAAACAATAAAAATAACACTTGTGTTATGTGATTGCCAGCAAATCTTAATGCCACGCACAAATACTATATTGTTTTATAAATTCATAAAGTGCCAATGGTTTTTAGAATAAAAGTAAATAACATTGGTTAAAATTGACGATAAAAGCGATTGCTTTGCAGAAAATGAGTAACTAAAGCCGGCGTCATAAAACACCGAAACAACAAAATCGTTGCCAATATGTCAATAACCCAACCATCTGACTAGTAATTCACGCTTTGAATAATCAATTTCTGAATTTATGCCATACATACATATGTAGTGAATACTTTACATAAGCAATTATGCACTAGGCAAGTACTATCAATGACCGAAACAAGTGGCCCATTTCGCAAACAATCGCTCACCACCACTGCCGGTATTGTATATTACCTAGAACAGTTTAATAGTAAGTCGAATGGCCCATAAATTAAATTTTGCATATAAATTAGTTATATATTTTATATATAAAGGAGTACTTGAACACTTAAAATTCGTCTCTTTGAATAATGCTTGCATTTGAATAGCTTATACATATATGCTTTTCCAGTAGGCACTCCCAAATTTCGTAATACTATTTAGAGTATTCAACTTATTTCCATTGTACTATGACCCTTCAATTCATCAAAATTTTTTGTATAATTGCTTACGACATAGTATTGAGAACTGAGAACTGAGATGAAAATCCTGCAAAACAACAGTAAACACTCAACTATTAAAGTAAAAAGCAGCCATATTATGTTTAGGTTTTACAATTTTTTATCATAATTAAAACCAGAAAATTTGCGTCAAAAAATTACTTTAAGTCTTTGACTTGGCAAGCCAAATCTTCTGCATGAAAAGTTAAACAAGATGGGATATTAAATGTCATCAGATTAAATAAAGAGCATAAATTGTTACGATCGTTTTGAATACCATTCCTCAAGGGTAAAATGTTCTTCCTTAGAAAAATAAAATCGGAGTATATGAAATTAAATTAAAAAACAAAAACGTTAACTTCGGCTATACCGATATTTTATGAAAAACTTTATCTTGGAGAGAAGAGGTGCAAAATTAAAGATCAATATCTCAAAAACTGAGAGCTAGTTTTCGTATTATGAGCCGGATCCTTTATACGGTCTCCGGCGTTGGGTGTTACCTTGTTAAAGTACCTATATACATTTTGGTAGAAACACCCGCATTCGGTGAACATTTACTTAGATACTACTCTATCACCGCTAATTTTCTCCGATGGATCTTAGGTCACTTTCGCAAAATGTCTCAAAATCTATCTTATTTCTCATCGAGTGTTGCTTCGATACAATATCTTTTCACAATTAGAAATTTGATTCTTCGATAGAACCTTTTTATACTCTCGCAACCTGTTGCTACAGAGTATAATAGTTTTGTTCTCCTAACTGCCGTTTGTATCACCTAAAACTAATCGAGTTAGATATTGGGTTATATATATATAAATGATCAGGATGAAGAGACGAGTTGAAATCCGGGTGACTGTCTGTCCGTCCGTCTGTCCGTCCGTCCGTGCAACCTCTAACTTGGGTAAAAATTGAGATATCTTTATGAAACTTGGTAGACATGTTTCTTGGTACCCTGAGACGGTTGGTATTGCAGATGGGCGTAATCGGACCACTGCCACGCCCACAAAACGCCATTAATCAAAAACAAATAAATTGCCATAACT